GTTTGTTTTTTTTGCTATAATTCTAACGCGTATAAATGTGCTATTATTGTGAGGTGAGATGTTGTGATGCGAGCAAAAAAGGAAGGTCCGAGCAGCGATAAATGTGAAATGTTAATGGTTCGCAGCTTCTTCCCAGCCGTATTTATGTCATGTTGTGAAGCGAATAAGTTAGGAGCGAGCAATAAATCCGCGATATATCACCTGCGAATGAAATAGGAGGTGGAAAGAAGAAAAAAAAATGGTGCATGGTAAATATGAAATGAAGGAATGCGTCGATTCTCTCTCTGTTGTCCTCAAGATCTCCGCATATCTCCGTCTCTACAAGAGTATTTCATTTCCATTTGCTTGCTCGTTGCTCGCTCGCTTACCGCAAAGCGTTTTCGTCTATAAACCCAGAAAATGCGAACTTTCTAAAATACCTGTTTTACAATGCAATTCATAAAAGCCTGCAGTAAGTAAGATTAAGTTTACATTGGAAGGAGGTCGCATTTTAACCGAAGATAATTCATTTGGATCTCAGTGTGTGTGTGCATTTATGCAATCGACAAAGACGGAACGAAGAGGTTGAAGAAGAAGAATAAAAGGAAGGAGGAAACATCCTCCGGTATGCGACAACGCGCCGATTTCCCTCAAAGAGTAATAAACCTCTTATGCAACGACATATATTCAAATGCGCGCGCGATCTACGCGGAATCGATTATTGCATAAAGGATGCCAATCAGTCCCATTAATATTTTCATCGCGCAATTTGCGCATTGTGCATTCTTCAATCAATCTGACGGCCTTTTACCATTTATTCTTATATTCATCACTCTCTTGGTTTTGTAATTTTTTTTTACTTCTTTCGAACCGTTCGAATAATTCCGTTTGCTTATGCTAATCTCCAGGAATTCTTGACCGCATCAGAACCTTCTTCTAATCCTATTAATAATGTATTAGAACACTCTTTTTTTGTACGATCTCAGCTCAAGAAACGTCTTCTTTCTTTCATCATTTATCAACATTCGAATAACTCAATTACCGAGGTCGTGAACTCGTCTGCACATACAGTTAACTTTAATTTTGTTAGACAAAAACACTCCATTCATCAGACAAATTTTCACCTAATTTCAAGTTATTTTTATTCAATTTCAATAGTTGTAATCATGTAAATAATAAATTGTCACTTTTTTATGTTTGTGAAAACGCAATTAGTAAATTAAATAATTTAACACGTATGAAGTAATTGCTCCAAATATTATCAATAAAATAGAAATTATTAGTCAGTAATTTCATTTATTTAAATTCACTTAATTTATAAATTGGTTACACATTGTTTGAAACCGGACTAATCGAGGTCTTTATAATAGCACAAACAGAGAATTTATTAATAATTTTTTTAAATTTTCAATTCTTCCATCCATATTGTTTATAATTTATGTTACCACACGCAGTTTGTTCTTTCTCAATAAACTGAATTGATTATCTGCGATTCGCGAAGTTTTCCTGTTATCCTTAAGATTTTAGTGTTCATAGCAACGAAAGAGCATCCTTGATAACCTTCAAAAAGGCGTGTCTAACAACAAAAGTCAATGTCAATATTCGATGACAGCTGTAAGGAATAACTGTCAAAGCATTTCACATGCAATAAAACAAACTAAATAAATATTATTTAAACTGAATATTGAATATTTGTAGCAATTTCAATTCTCAAAACGGAGTCCAAAAGTAAGTGAAAACTATCCAAATTTCATACTGAAAATTAAAACTTATATATTTTTTTAATTCTAAAAACATGACAAAAGTTTGTCAAAATTTCGAGTCACAAAATTTACAACAAACTTGAAACTGTTTTATTTACAAATCATTAGAAAATTTGTCACAATTTGCACTTGCAAAATAAGTGTAGATTTTATTAAATATTTGAATATTTCTTGAGAATAATTTATACCAAAACCTCATATTAATTCATATTAAAAATTAACTGTTACATTATGAAAATTTATTCTGTAATGAAAATATTTGTTGAGAATCTTTTATGTCATTTACAATCAAAAAGAAATTAAGAAAATAGTTTAAAGAATATGTTTTAAAATCCCAAGCAAAAAAGCGTTTAGAGTATAGGAATTCTTTGACAATCATTTACAACATAAACAGTCTTCATATTTAACATTGAAATTGTTATATTTTTTAAGGAGAAATTAAGAAACAGGTGAAAATTCGTTTCAAAGAGCAGTCACGTAATGCTAAACGATTCTATGGAACAAAGATACAGAAACTGTTTTCAAATCACAGCGAAAAGGGCGTTTCGGGTTTAGGAATTTTCTAAGAATGCAAGTTAATAGCCTTCCCAAAAAAAAGGAGAAGGAAAAGTAAAAAAAATATAATGGTGGGTAATTTAAAAATGATTTACAAAATCTCACGTATTTATCCTATACATTTTTCAATACACGAAAAATAATTGTATAAAAATTGTTACAATCATCATTTTAGTAATAGCATTAAACTTTTACTTTAGATATGTAATAAGTTTTTTTTTGATTATTTCTCTCTTTTTTCTCTACTAATTTTCTTTTATTAATTCAATAATAATCACAATAAGTATGAGAAATAGTAACAAAAAAAAAACATATAAACTAATTTGTAATCATGATTCATATAAAAACTGACTGTAATAGTGAAAAAAAAAACAGTATAAAGTTTAATTATTTAATGTTAAATATTTAGACTTTGAGCATTAACAAATATAAATGTAATGATGTTGTACAATTTAAATAAATTATAATGATTTGCAGGCCAAATGCATATATTTTAATGTATAACCGTCCAATTAATTCCAATTTATCACTTGCTATATAATAGCGATGATTATTCAAACATTCATATTCATTAAAAAAATTATATAACTAAATTCGTTAAGAATTATTGCATCCTTCCAATAGATTTCATTTATATTTGAGTTAAAAACATAAACATGTTAATAAATTAGATTTTCTAAGTTAAATCCATTTAAATTTTCTAAATATTTTAATTCATTTATATTAGGTCTACAAGAAAGTCCAAATAAAACTTTTTTGTATTTGTTTTGTTCAATAACCTTTTGTCATCCTTCTGAACACTTCATAATTCCTCTCTTAGTAAACTTCTAGTCCTTAAAAGAAAAAAATTGAAGGAAGTTTGATTTTAGGTCAATATAATTACAGAAAGTTTTATCAATCAAAGAGTTTTGAAAACTTCGAATCAAATGGTAATCTGATGGTACTAGGTCAAGAGTATATGAGGCGTCACTTCTCAACCATGCTCCAGTATTTTAGTTTCTTAAATTCAGTTCAAAATATATACAACAATTTTGTGATCTCACCAATTTGATAGTATAATGTGGTTTGTTCTGCTTTTTCACGCTTGTATCATGATCGTTTTCGATTGATGTTATTGAATTACAACAAGGTCAGATTGCAAAAAGTAGAGGATCCTCTAAATTTGACAACTTTTCAAAAGTAATATTTACAAACGAGTTTTTAATAAAATTTAAATATTGTTTATGATTAATTGATTATTGCGGTATTTAGTTATGGTAATATTATTAAACAGTTGTAATATTGTTCATATTAATGTAGTCTTTTGATTAATTGTATAGCAGTATTGTTTTATTCTTAATGGTTTATTTTTAAGTTTTGAATAATAATTTTGCTTTTGATTTATTATTATAAATTAATCGTTTAAACCAGTGGTTTCCAAATTTTATGTTACTTATTGGTGCGTCAAAAAATTGAAATGATTATTTGCGATTCACGAAATTTTTCCGTTATCCTTAACTTCTTGAAATTCTAGTGTTTACTTTAATACTTACAACAGTTCTCAACATGTTAAATGTTGATGAGTGAAAATCAACGGAAAAGCGTGTCCAAAAACAAAGGTCAATGTCAATAGTCCATGACAGCTGTAACAATCTTTGAAACCAATGGTTTCCAAATTTTATGCCTTAATAAATTGAATTGATTATCAACGATTCACGAAGTTTTTGCGTTATCCTTAAGTCCTTGAGTTTTTAGTGTTTACTTTAATACTTTCAGCAGTTCTCAACATGTTAACTGTTAACAACTATGGTAGCGTTCATAGCAACAAAAGAGCAACCATTAATGAGTGAAAAACGACGGAAAGGCTTGTCCAAAAACAAAGGTCAATGTCACTAGTCAATGACAGCTGTAATAATCTTTGAAACCAGTGGTTTCCAAATTTTATGCCTTAATAAATCGAATTTATTATCTACGATTCACAAAGTTTTTGTGTTATCCTTAAGTCCTTGAGATTTTAGTGTTTACTTTAATACTTTCAGCAGTTCTCAACATGTTAATTGTTAACAACTATGGTAACGTTCATGGCAACGAAAGGGCAACCGTTAATGAGTGAAAAACAACGGAAAGGCGTGTCGAAAAACAAACGTCAATGTCAACAGTCAATGACAGCTGAAGAAATAACTAAGAGTTTCACACCAAATTATAGTATATAATATAAAAATGTTGTCCAAATATGAAAATTCACTTAATTATTAATTAAATTTACGTAATAAAATATGTAAATATTTCAAATTTCTTAAGTATAATTTATACCAACTATATAAACTGAATATTTGCGAAAATAAGTTGAAACTATTAAAATTTAAGGTAATATTGTTAAAAAGTTGTAATATAGTTCATATTAATGTAGTCTTTTGATTAATTATGTAGCAGTATTGTTTTATTCTTTTTTAAGTTTTGATTGATAATTTTTGTTTTGATTTATTATCATAATTTAATCGTTTAATCCAGTGGTTTCCAAACTTTATGTTACTTATTCGTGACCCAAAATTCCAATTTTTTGAAAATTAGTTTTCTAATAGTTTTCGCGCTCTTGCAGTTTGGAAACCGCTGATTTAAGCACGTAACTTTTGCTTCTGTTTTGCATTGAGAAAAACACAGTTCTGCGCACTTTTTCATTGAGTATTTTCATTAAGTAATTGTGATTAGATTAATAAGACTTACCCCTTTTATTGTAAATGTACTTCCTCCAGAGGAAGAATATGATGAGGGCGAGGGCGGCTCCGATGAGGAGCGTCAAAATAACACTCAACGCGATGGATCCGGACCCATAGCAGACGGCCTCCTCTTGTTGCCCCATGGAAAGATGCACGTTGCACAACAAGATCACAAGAAAACAAACCAGAAACCGCGGCACGTTAAATCCCGTCATTTCAGTGGGAAGGCGGCCAGAAACCGGAAGTCATCCAGAGAAGGTCCGAATCGATGATGTGAGACTGGATTTTTTTTTTGTTTCTTTTCTCTCTCTTTATTTCTTTCCTGCGAAATTTTTGCATACCATTAAAAAAAACAAGGAATATTTGGGCGCACCCATAATTGATTCTAATGACTCCGAGCGAACGGTTCAAAATGCAAATTCCGCAACAATAATAATAAGTAAATAGTAAACTTTAAAGATGTTTGAATTTGTTTTACTTTAAGAAATTATAAATTTATTTATTAATGATCGACTTACAATTTGAATGATGAATTTTTTGAGTTGCTTCTTGATATATTTCCCAAAAAACAAAAAAGTATTTCCGTCCTTCCTTTTAGATGCGTAGTTTTTTTGAAACGATGATCACAAACTGTTTGTTTCGAATTATTTGTATCGAAACGCGCACCAACACTTTCGTCGCGACTCTCAGAGAGTGAAAAAAAATAAACTAATTGTTGCTCGAGTTTGGTTTGAAGTTGTAGTTAATTATTGAACGCGTTTGCGTGCGTGCGTTTCTGTAACGCGAAGAAACAGCAGCAGCAGCAAAGAACTTTTTGCATTTGACGACGATTTCGAATTGAACGTGAGTAGAGTGTTTGTGTGTGTGTTTGTATGAGTCTCGGTTGGCTTGTGTTGTCTTGCATACAGGTGAACAAGTTCTGGCGCTGTAAACTTGCCGAGATTTGATGGCAGGTGTATGGGGAAATGCTGTCGGCTACATGAACTTAACTTCGATGACCGACTATAACCGAAACCCGACATGCAACCGACACACACACACGCGCGCGCTCGAGCAGGGCTCTCTGGATTTTTACGCTGAACACGTTTTTCTACTGCCGTCCTTTCTCTCTCTCACTCTGTCTCTCATTGCACCACAAACATTGACCACAGATTTCCATTAATTTTTCATAATTCCCCATAAACAATGAAAGCAATAAACAAAAGCAATTAAATTGAACAAAAAAAAATCTTGAAACAATCGATGAATTTTACATATCAATTGATTTAATTGAATAATCGACAATATTTATTAATAAGTAACATAATATTATTCATTAAGCCACAAACATTGTCCAAATATTTCCATTACTTTTTCATATTTCTCCATAATCAAGATACAAAAAAGAATGTGCAAAAGCACTACAATTGAAAAGAAATCCTGAAATAATCGATGAGGTTTACATGTATATTAGTCAACAAAGAAATTGAACTTGTTATTTTTTTTATAAACAACAGAAAAAAAGAATCAAAAATATTGTAATTACTTCCATTTATTGAATCAAATAATTGACAGTATTTAAATATTGATATATAAAATTACTATTAAAGATTAACAGAATATTATTTATTAAACTACGAACATTGTCCACAGATTAAGTGAACCTTTAATAATTAATATTATACTGAATGAAGAAAGAAAACTTGTTATTTTTTATTCTTAACTCTAAGAATAAAAAATATTGATTTTCTTTAATTTTTCATAATCAATACAAAAGAAATACAATAGTGCTACAATTAAAAACAAATTTCCACAATTAATTGAATTTCACAATTTTTTGATGATTCCCATTAATCTCTGAAAATCAACAACAAAAGAACAGAAATTTTCTGAAATAGTTCCATAAATAGAAGGAAGAAACATGAATTATAGTAATTACTTTTAATAGATTATATCAAATTAAATATTTAAATCAATAAGTAAAACACTATTCAAAATCAGCATAATTTTTATCATGGATTAGAGATTTTCTTTATTTTTTCATAATTTTCCATAAACAAACAAAAGCAATTAAATTAAAAACGAAAATTCCTGTAACAATCGATGAGTTTTACATATATTTGAATCTGTTAATAAAACGCTTACATAAACATATAATAATTAACATAATTCTATTAATTAAGAAACAGAAGGAAGAAACATAAATTATTGTAATTACCATTATTTTATTCATTGATTTTCTTTATTTTTTTTTATAATATTCCATAATCAATACAAAAAAAAACTACAAAAGTGCTACAATTAAAAAGAAATTTCCAGAGATAATGAATAAGTTTTCGATATATTTAAGTCTATAAATAAAATTATTCTAATTAGTTTAAGGCATATAATTAAATAATTAACAATTCTTAAATAAATTATAAAATTATTGTTAAATGTATAAATAAAACACTTACACGTATCAGTTGTAATTAAAATAATACTGAAATTAGTTTAAGACATTGAAGACAATTGAAAAATGTATTTTTCTTTTAATTGTTAAGTTTATAAATAAAACACTTGCATAAATTATCCATAATTAACAGGATGTCAAGGATCGTCCGATTACAGTAAATACTGCAAAGTCATTGAGAATTAGTTTAAGATTAATCGACCAAAACTTTGTTTTTTATTTTCTAACATTGCTTAGCCAATAAGTAATAATACAAATCAAAGGATAATAAATTATAATTAATTGAATGAAGTTTCCAAAGAATTAATTAATAATTGCA